GAGCAAAAGGTTATACAGGTTAGAGACAGAGCCGGAGGGCATGTGGTCTCAAATCTTGCGTAATAAGTATTTGCACACGAAAAAGCTTGCCCAGGTTACCATCAAACCCACTGACTCGTCGTTCTGGAAGGGACTTATGAGAGCGAAGGACATGTTCTTTCGTAGGGTCAAATTCTTGGTTGGCAACGGGATGTCAACAAGATTTTGGGAGGATACGTGGCTAGGAGAGACGCCTCTGGCCTTACAATATCCTACCCTCTACAATATTGTGCAACGAAGGAGGAGTACGTATGTATAATCCTTCAAACTATCCCCTTAAACATCCAGTTCAGACGTACGTTAGTGGGTGAGAGGTGGACAACCTGGATGCACTTGGTTCGGAGGTTGATTGAAGTTCGTCTCTCCGACATGCCGGATTCAACAAAATGGAAGTTAACTAAAAATGGGATATTTACTGTGAAATCTTTTTATACGGATTTGATTAATTCTGGCCCCCTCTCAAGGTCTTTGCATATTTGGAAGGTTAGAGTTCCTTTGCGGATCAAAATCTTTATATGGTTTGTTCACAAGCAAGTTATTCTCACAAAGGACAACCTTCTTAAGAGGCGATGGGTAGGAAACTCGCGGTGTTGTTTTTGTGCTCAGGATGAGATAATACAACATTTATTTATTGATTGCCCACTTGCCAAGTTACTTTGGAGAACGATTCATACAGCCTTTAATATCAATGCTCCGGTAGATATTGCGTCTATGTTTGGGACGTGGTTAGCTGGGATTGAACAGAACATGGCAGCTCGTATTTGGATTGGAATATGCGCGCTATTATGGGCCATATGGAACTGCAGAAACGATATGATTTTTAACAGACGACACAACTTAACTTTTTTGCAGGTTATCTTGAGAGCTACAGCTAGGATCCGTACGTGGTCCTTACTCACTCCTATGGACTCCAGGGAGCCTTTGGTTACTGGGTGCAACCAATGGGAGATGGTGGCTCGGGGTATATTCAACCGGTTCGGATGGCGTTCGCATAATAGGATAGGAGTCTAGAGAGCTTATCCTTATTTTTACCGCTCCGGTTAGCTTGTATCTTTCCAGTTTTTTTTTTTGCTCCGTTTGCGAGCTGTAAGACAATCATAACGCTACTTTCTGGATTTTTAATAAGAGAGCCGTATGCATCATCATGATGCAGAGGCCGGGGGCATGCCTCCATTTCCAAAAAAACATATATTGCAAAGGATAACTTTGATGCTTGTTTTGATTGAAGACAATCTAAGGAACCACGGGTGTTGTTATCCGTGGCAAGAAAGGAAAGTTCATTGTCGCAAAGAATTCAAGTATAGAGCTTGTCCATGATATCCTACAGCCGAAGTAATTGTAGCCAAGGAAGGTTTGTTACTTTTTTTTTTTTGCGGAGAAGGAAGGTTTGTTACTTGGAGTGCGGCGTTTTGGTGTCCAGACTCATCTGCACCCGGTCATGAAGAAAACAAAACAAATACTAAAAAAATTCAAAAACTTTCAATTTTTTTGTGTGTGGTAGATAATTTGATGCGTGAGGTTCGCTCTCATTTTTAGATCATTTGAACATCTGAGCTGCTCTCGGCAAAAAAGACAAATCGGGTCAGAACAATGCACGAACAATTAATATTTTTACAGACCTCGAATTTGTCTTTTTTTAGAGAGCTACTTAGATATCCAAATGATATGAAAATTGAAGCGAAACTCACGCATTAAATTATCTATCACCCAAAAAAAATTGGATTTTTTAATTTGTTTAGTATTTGTTTTGATTTTTTTTTTGTCAGGGCGGGTGCAGCTGAGCCTAGGCTCAGAAGCGGATTACCGTGTTACTTGCTGAATCTTTAGAATGTAGTAGAATTGGCGTCAGTCCGAACAACATGAACCTTATCAACATATTGAATGAAGATACCTTTGCAGCAGGAATTGCAGCGGCAGTGTTTAACGATTTCTACTATATATCGAGAGAGTTTGTCAAAGTAAGTTCCATACTTGAGTTCAAATAGGCCAACCCTGTCTTTGGGCTCCAGGCCGCCGGGTTCGACCCGGGTGTGAATATCTAATGGGTCCGTTTAGGACAAATCTAGTTGTGACATAAGCTGATGTTCACTTTGTTTGTGGTCTATATTTTTTGTCCTAATTTTTTTTATTTTTCGTGGCTGCATTATATATTTGTGGAAGCTTACATGTAACATCCTTAAAAAACAAATCTAATTATGTTTCTCATTCTTGTATAAAAATATGCTGAGGGGGTGCTTGCCCCTCTAGTCTCGGCTTTTATTTTTGGCATTGCAAAATACAAGACATCCATATACTTGGTTAGATGATCCTCCTCCACCTATCATGTACCTCTACTGGTGAAAGATGTAACCTTAAATTTTAATGAATAAAGAAAATAGGTACTTTGATCAGGGGGAGGTCTATCCACGACAACTTCATGCTTGTGCAGTGCATGGCACGATGTCTACATGCCCTAAGAGAGACCGCAATCATGCTCAAGCTCGACATATCCAAAGCGTTTGATTATGTGAAGTGGCCATTCTTAGTGGAGGTGCTCAAACACATGGGGTTTGGCAATAGATGGATTTCATGGGTGTGCGGCATCCTAGCAAACTCAAGCACAAGAATCATGGTGAATGGCACTCCCGGGATGCCGATATACTACAGGAAAGGGCTCCGCCAAGGAGACCCAGTTTCGCCAATGCTCTTCCTACTGATAATGGAGCCTTTACAAAGTTTTTTTGAGCTGGCGGTGGAGCGTGGATCACTTACCCCCCTTGCAAGATCAGGTATGAAGCAGTGTGTCTCGATGTTCGCGGATGACGTGATGATTTTCCTCAAGCCGGATGATATGGACTTGCATGTTTGTGCATCGCTGCTGCAAGTGTTTGGAGATGCTTCGGGGCTGCGTGTCAACTTGGCGAAGAGTGCCGCCTTGCCTATCCACTGCTCGGAAGACATATTGAACAGAGTGGTGCGGATCCTTGGCTGTCCAGCGGGTAGATACCCTAGTAAGTACCTTGGCCTCCCTCTGACTTTACGGAAACAAACTGCGGCACAGCTCGGTGGCCTCGTGGACAAGCTTGCAGGACAATTGCCGAAGTGGAAGGCGACATACATGCCCAAAAGTGGGCGTCTAACTCTGGTGCAATCCGTCTTGTGCGCTATCCCGATCCATGCAATGATGGCGCTCGACCTGCCACAAAAAACAATAATAGCCATGAACAAGATATGTCAAGGATTTCTATGGTGTGCAAAGGAGCAAGCGAATGGTGGTCATTGTGCAGTGGCATGGAAGCAGGTGTGCACACCAAAGTGGGCAGGAGGGCTTGGTATCCCTAACTTGAGCTGGCTGAATGTTATTGTGCAGTCACGGTGGCCATGGTTACAAAGATCCGACCCTAGCAAACCATGGGCTGAGTTCTCCATCCCGGTGCCTGAATAGTCCACGCACCTTTTCCGTGCGGCAGCTAGAGTATCTGTGGGAGACGGAAGAACTACTCTCTTCTGGGAGGACCGGTGGCTGAACGGAATGTGAATACAAGAGCTTGCGCCAGCTCTTCACAACATGGTGGCCAAACGGACCCGCTACTCGCGTACAGTGGAACAAGCTTTGGAGGAAGGCATCTGGGCACGGGACATTGGCCCCGAACTCACTGAGCCGATGCTACAAGAGTACCTTCAATTATGGTCAAGGGTTCAGACCACACATCTATAGCCGGGATGTGCTGACGTAATCAGATGGTCCTGGGAGCACAATGGACAGCATTCCACGCGCTCAGCTTATGAGGCCATGTTTTGGGGACGTGAAGGAATCTCGACATCTGCATTCACTTGGAACTCTGGGGCGCCAATGCAGTGCCGTTTCTTTACATGGTTGGCGCTTAGGAATCGCTGCTGGACCTCCGACAGATTAGCCCGACGTGGGTTGGACCACCAAGAGACTTGCCCTTTTTGCGACCAAGAAGAAGAATCCATTCAACACATTCTGTTGCACTGTGTCTTCGGCAGAGAGGCGTGGACGGTGCTCTGCCGGGCTTTGGGGAAATCTGAGTGGGTGATGATACGACCCAGCTCGCTGCAAGACTGGTGCACTGACAAGGTCAAGAACAAATCAGCCCGAAAAGACGTCAGAACTCTCTTCACACTTGTGATGTGGGAGTTGTGGAAGCACAGAAACGCAATCGTCTTCGACGGGGCAACTCCATCCATAAGGCGAGTGTTGCAACGTTTGCAGGAGGAGGGGAGGACATGGAAAAAGGCAGGACTCTTCAAGTGCGACACGACGGCGTTCTTTGGGGAGTTAGATAGGTGGGCATGTGTGAGGAGTTAGTTCGTGTGTGGGTACACCGGCCTAGCTGGGTGGAACAAGCGTGCAAACACTTTGTAATTAACAGCTGTACGAGTTCTTTTTACCCCTCTTTCTTCTTTAATATATAATACGCACACTCGTGCATATTCCAGAAAAATAAATGCTGGAAATATTCCTGACCCTCTCATAGAACGGTTCTCCAGCTTGTCGACCTGTGGCAGGATCTGCAGTCGGTGTCGTTTCGCACCGATGTGGCAGTAGCTGCTAATGTATCATTGGTTTTGTGTCGCAGATTCTTCATGGCAGCCACGTAGGAGAGCAGCTATCGTAAAAATGACTTCGAGTTGGATTAGTAGCCGGGAAAGGAAGGCGTAATTAAGTGCTGCTGGCGAGGGCTTCCGAGATGGCCTCAAACTCATTAAACTTGGCACTTAAGCTTCAAATGCACGCACGCAAATCCGGTTTTCGGACGGATCACATCACATACGCATCCACGGTTTGGAATCGGCGTCACACCTGGCCTGAGCTCATCAATAAAAGGCAGCCAACCTGCTGCCTTTGCCCTCGCCTCGCTCTGACCAATCTTCTCTTCTCCAGCTTCCAATCTTCACCAATCACCAATCACCAGCCCTTACCCAGCGAAGCGACCGGCGTCCCCTGTTCCCTTCCCATGGAGATTGCCTACCCCTACGGCGGGGAGCTCACCAGGAAGCACGGCTCCGTGACAGGCCAGCCGTTTGCCGCCAAGATCGACATCATGTCCGGCCAGAAGCGCGCGAGGGAGATGCAGATCCTTCGGCAGCGGTTCCAAGCAGAGCTCGTCGCCGTCCGTGGCCTCCTCCACAAGGCGGCCGCCGTGCTAATTCCCGCCTCGTCCCCGTTGGCTCCCCGCGTTAAGGAGAGTCGTCCAGGGTTCTTGGCCGAGGAGCCGCCGGCCAAGAAGAGGAAGGCGTCTCCTCCCGTTCCTGTGATCAATCGCAAGAAGGCGCCAACGAAGAAGAAGATGACGGCCTCTGAGAGGGAGATGCTCGCGGAAGACCTGGAGCTGTTCGTTGCGGAAATCCCCGATCACATCGTCCAGCTCTTGCAGAAGCACAGCTGCGCCACCCGCCCCGGCGAAATCGAGATGGACCTCCACGCGTTGGACGACGCTGCTGCTGTCGAGTTACAGGAGCAGGTTGACAAGTTCGCTCGAGAGAGGAGGTCGGCGAATCCGTCGCCCCAAGAACGCCACCAAGACGGCCCTGAGGCGATGAACGAAGAGGAGGACGAAGAAGTTGACATCTGTGGCGGCGTCTCCCCCTTGGTGATCGTGCCGCAACCTCTGCTGCAAGAACGCCACCAAGACGGCCCTGAGGTGATGGCCGAAGAGGAAGAGGAGGAAGAAGTTGACATCTGCGGTGGCGTCTCCCCATTACCGATCGTGCCGGCACCTCTGCTGCTCGTCGAAGATGAAACAGCCAGAGGCAGCCCAAGCTCCAGCAGCAGCAGCAGCAGTTCAGATACTGATTCCAGCGACAGCGATTCAGACACTGATTCCGGCAGCAGCGACTCGGGTTCAGAGCACTCCGGCGGCAGTGACTCAGATTCTGATTCTGACGAGATCGTCGACAGTCCAGCACCGGCCATCACGCCTCCAACATGTGAGCAGCTCGCCCGTGCTCTGGAAAGGCAGCGAAAGGAGGCCACGTCCCGGGCGAGGGAGAAGGCCCGTCAGGAGCTGCTCCACATGGAGAAGACGGCAATGCCCGACGATACCCTACACCGAGAGGATCTGAAGAGGCTCGGCATTGATGAGTACAACACGGCGAAGCCCAGCAACTTGCTGCGGCAGATTGGGCTCTACCTCAAGGTTGACGAAGACTGGAAGCAGCAACGCCGTCAAAGCTTCCACGAGGATTTAGAGGAAGGCGAGATTCGGTAGTGATCGTCGTTGCTAGCAAGGTCCTATAACAAGTGATGCTGTTGCTGATGGCTTGATGCCTCACAGAAAACTTGTAGCTCTCTTCTGTAGATTGTATGTGTGCTGAACATGATTGGATATACGAAAGTACATGATCAATTACACTGAGTATCAACTAAATTAGTGATATCTTCTTTGTAAACATGTTTAACAGATATGTCCATTTCCAATATCAATCATACTGAATATTTAACATGAACCGCAAGCATATATAATAATGGCATATAAGGACCACTAAATTTAGAAAAAAAATTGAGAATAGGACCACGAAATTTCAATCAAGCCACATATATAAAAGAGAGTTTTTATAACTCGGAGGCTCAGTATTTCTGAAAAGACATCTTCACATACATATGGAGATTAATATCACGATGTATGATTGATGCCTCAAGACCCTAAATGATAGCATCACCTTATACATTCAATATATAAAAAAGATACATATCAAGGAGGCTTGTTCCAGTGGCACCGAGATTCGAGCCTTTTCAGTTTTCGTTTTGTGCCTGAATTTCCTACTAATGAATATGCTAACTAGTTCCTCCTTGACATTCTCATTCTTTATACAACCCGCTTGCACCATTCTCATTCCCAACTGCGAACCATACAGTTCTTCAGTTAAGCATCCAACAACCTTCAGCTTAATCTTCATGGTTGTTTTCGCCTTCAGAATCTGTTTAATAGCAGGGGTAGCTTATAACAAATCCATAAGAGTATGCTGCCGAGAAAGAAAATAAATCTAACACCAAGGAAATGAGCAAGAAAAGAATCACTGACCGGATCGAACATCCTCACCAACATGACCTCTGGACTGAATTTGTTTGACAAGCATCCGGTAAATCAGTACCCACCAATATATGTGAAAGACTAGAAGTGAAAACAAGAGAGTGTTGAAAAGATAGTAGTATGAGGTTCTGTAGATTTTTTTGTTCTCCTTGTCCAAGATCATAGCTATTTCATAACTGAAAAAGACACAAGACCATTGAATTGATCAACAAATGCTCTAAAAAAACTAAGTAGAGTAATGCTGCTTCCTAATCAGGTAAAGTAGCACCACATGCCAGAACAACCAAGAATGTTACCTTGTGCTTCTTAGAATCCAGAAAGGAAACACTATTAGCCGAAGAAGGATCCACGGAGCCACAAAAAGTAGAAATGCTACAACAGCTAGCCACTCACAGCTACTGTACTTCGCCATCTTTCCGATCTCTAGGAATATATCACTTGCATCATGGAGGGGTAAAATGACCGAGCCAGGACGAGATAATCTGTTTGGAAGTAGCAACAACTTCAAGTTTGACTATGTTGTATATTGTTATGGTATACAAGGGCGATTACACTCATCTGCATACCTGCAAATATAGGACACAACAATCAGAACAACAATTGCCACACGGTGAGACATCATGACTCCGAAGTCCTTGCGTCTTGTTTCCCAGAACAGAAGATCAAAGATAGAATATACGTAAAATCCAGCGGCATACATGTATACAGACTTAAGCTTCAGCCTGGAGAGAAAAACAAACAATGTTGAAAGCAGCAGCACCGACAAAGCTTCCAAGAGGATATAGAGGAAGGCGAGATTCGTCGTGATCGTCGTTGCTAGCAAGGTGCTATAAGAAAGTGATGCTGTTGTTGATGACTTATTGCCTAACAGAAAGCTTGTAGCTCTCTTCTGCAAAATGTATGTGTGCTGAACATGATTGGATATATGAAAGTAGATGATCGATTATGAAGACTATTATGTTATGCTCCAAATTCAAGTATAAAGAGGGCGGCTAACTTCTGACGAGCGAGCGGAGCGAGGCCCGATCAATATTGACCTAGGTTACCTGTGTTATATATACCTCTTGTAAGCCGCCACACCGGATAAGTTGATCAGTTGTAAATCCCCGGCGTTTGTAGCCTCCCCGATATAGTGAAGTTCGGCTGGCTGGCGTCTGTGGTTTTTTCCCCTTCGTGTTGGAGGGGTTTGTAACCTCATTTTCGTAAATACATGAAATATTTTACTTAAAACTCATGAGGATTTGAAAAATTCACGAATATCTTTTATTAAATAAGTCATTTTATTAAAATCGTTAACCAACCTCTTACAATCTAATCACACCCCCTCCCTCCTCCCTCCTCCCGCGACGCCCTCGCGGGCGCACCGGAGGCTAACCCTAGCTGCCGTCGGGGCTCCCGTCTTCCATTCATCCCCTCCCTCGCCGCCGCCAGGGGCGCGACTTGGCGAAGTCCTGCCGGCGGCGGGGTGCTCTTCCTCCCCTCGCGCGGGTGGCGAGACGGGGGGCAACTCATCAGGGCCTGGGTGTCGCGCTAGGTGCCGGGCGCGACGCAGCGATGGTGCGTTGGGCGGCGCGGGTGGTAGCGGACGCGCCTTGGTCGCCAGGGTCGGCGACGTCGAGGCCAGATCTGGGGCCTGTCGACGCGGCTTCAGGTCTTTGCCCCTGCCATGGCCACAGCAGGTGGTGGTGCGACGCAGCAGTGGCTGGTTGGTGGGCGGGCTGGCCGGGATCCAGGGGCTTCGACGGCTGGACAACGGCAGGCAGCGCAGATCGGCTCCTCGATGAGCCTCTTCACAATTGGCGGCGGTCCTTGGGATCTCTCCTTTCCGGTGGGCGAGTGTGTGTTGGTGGCCTCGCGTGGAGTTGCATTCATCGCCGAGGTGGGGCGACACAAGAGGTGTCCGGTGGGAAGGCAGGCTGGAGGGATGGGAGGCGCCGACGAACTCGGGCCACCTGTCACGGGCACATGGATGTGCCGACCTGGATGCGCCCGCTCCCCCTCCTCCCCCGTTCCTTGGTTGTGTGTGGGCTACGGGGCTCCTGCTTTGTTCGAGGCGGGACGTATGTTGCGGTCTCTTCGGTCGGGTGCGCCCTTTGGCCCAAAGCCGATCACTTTGGTCGGTCTTGGGGGTGTCTCGATGCAGAGTGGCAGCCCTGGGGGCGGGAGGCACAGAGTTTGTGGGCAGAACTTGCACCTGGGGTGCGAGCGAGTGGCCATGGCCACGTGGGTGGGTGGTCGCTGGTGGTTGGCGGAGCTAGGATGCGTCGGAGGGGTGGTCGTGCCGGGACTTGCCCAATCTTGTATTGGCCAATAGCGCCGACATTCGTGGACACTGTATACCTTCATGAAGGCTCTGTCGCCGTGTCCTTACTCTTTCGAGTTGCACCGGGTGAAAACTCGATCTTTGGGATCAAATGATGGCGGCTATAAGTGGTCGTTCCCTTCTAGGAGGCACCATCTTGGAGTCCTTGTTCCGTTGTTTCCCGTCTCAACTCTCCTCGGACGAGGTCTCTATTGGCTTCAAGCGGTTCGTCCTCGCGCATTTGTAGTGGCACGGTAGTCGTTGGGGGTGGTGCGGCGGTGCTCGGCACCTTTGTATCTTGCCTTGGGTGTGTGTGTCGTGTGCGGTGGTGGCGTGAGTTTGTATCGTGGTGCTTGTGGATCGGTGTTTTATATATATAGCAGGACGAAAGCATTTTTCAGTAAAAAATTGTTAAACATTTTTAATTGAAAAACACATAAAATATAAAAATGTTGGCTACAAACAGTTGCCCATTTTAGAGACTTGGCTGCATTTTATGGATCAACAATGTTGAGAGGAGCGAACCAACCTGTGATTGGATGGTTAGAGGGACAGTGGTATCCCCAATCCACCAAGGTTCTCAAGATAACATGCCGGCTGAGTCTCTCAGAGGAGCTTATCTCTACTCCTAATGGAGCAGTTGGTAGTCTCCGCCGGTCAATTTTCGTCCCACCAGAGACGGGTTTTTCTCGTCCGTTTTTTTTCGCTGGTTTTTTTGTCACCTCCCCACCCCACCTCACCCCACCCCACGCACGCACCCTATGAAAACCACCCCGCAGGCCGTTCCTCTCGATCCCCTCCCGTCACCGCCGCCTTTCCTCTCGATCCCCTCCCGTCGCCGCCGCTGTCCTCTTGATCCCCTCGAGTAAGCGGCGCCGCCGTTGGCTCCCGATCTCCTCCATGGCGGATTCCCACGGACGCCGCGGCAGGGCATGATCGCGATAATCGCATGGAGGGTCGCGTCGAGGAAAGCGACGACCTCGCAGGCATCGGGTCAAGCGGCTGGCCCTTCTTACGCGATTGCGCCGTTTTTTTCTTCCGCGGCAGAGGTTGGTGCCGCCACGGCCGCATCATGGATTGCGTCTGTTTTTTTTTGCGCTGGATCCTGATTTGGCGGGATTTTTTTCCCAGGCATTGAGCGCGCGCTGGACGGCGGGAACTGTCGCGTCAAGGAGGACACTATGGACGGTGGATCCAGGGCGCTGCACGTCGCTGTCGGCCACGGGAGGATGTCATACCCTTTGGGCGCAACAAACTCTTGGCCATAGCCTCTTCGGCTTTTCACAACAAGTTAATACTCTCTACACTA